GTTATATGCTGAAATACTTTTGGAATGCGATTCTTGCTACCCATTTGGCAGCATGGCAGCGTAGCAGCATGCCTTAGAATAGGTATTGAAAAGTACCTGTTCACAAGGTCTAGAGTGGCCTTGCTTTGGAGACCCCTTGCCAAGTGCTAAAGAGCCTGGACCCTATATAATAAGTAAAGGTACCTTCAGAAAGCAGTTTTTGTTAGATTAAATTCCCAGGAAGAGATAATCACAGTTTCTAAGCAATGTCATCAGGAACAAACTGGGTTATTCAATCAGCTAGGGTAAAAAAGCCGGTGTGGTCAAAACCAGTTAAGACTTCCTGATTCACTAGTCAGATCAGTCTAGAAAATATAAATAGAAGAAAGAGAAATTTGGTTGAAACCAGTTTGAAGCAGTCCAAACCAGTTTAAACCGACACGTTCAACCAGTCTAAGATGTCGAATTGGCCTGTTTAGACAAGTATGACCAATTATTCTATCCGCGATCCAATTACGACCTCTTTCCGTCCTGGTTCTCAGACAGACTAGTCCAGTCATGTTTTCATAACATTCTTCAAAATTTAACGTTTCCTCCAATATGAGGAACATCAATCCCTCTTGACTCTGCGTATTTTTGTTCAATAATCTACAAATGGTATATCTAACCATGGAAATGCAGTGCTAGCAGTTGTATGAGTTCATAGATGTGATTCGAGTCCGGGCAATTGCCTATTTGTCTCTAAGTTCCTGTTTAGGCGCTCTAGTATTTTTGTTCATGAGTAGGTTAATTTGGAAATAAAGGGCAATAAGATTCTTTAGCGGGCTTAGGGGCCTTTATTCTGTAGTGGGGTGGCTCAATTAAAATGGGTTATGATTCGCTGTAGCAGAACAAACAGTTCCTAAAACTAGGAAGAAATAAATTCATGATTAAACATTCTACCAAAATGGGTCTCTGGGGAAATTTATCAAAACACATCTAACTTATGAACAATTTATTCATTTACTCTTTTTCAACTATTTCAACTCATCTTCACATGTATTTTGATGGGTATTTTGAAATTAAAACAAAAGATATGGATAAAATGTTAAATAGCTGAACTCTTTATGTGTGTTTTGATCAATCTCCCTTAATGTAGTTGCCTCAACATTTTTCTATATATAGAGTTGAAAATTAGGGTCCCTGGTCTCTAGCGTTGGAAACTTGGGCTGGCCTCAAACTTAGAAACAGTACTTGGGTTAAATTCTTTTTGAATTGGCAAAAGAATTAGCTCAGCAAAGAATTCAAATAGAAACAAAAGCCAGCAAATCTCTGCAATACGTGAGAAGCATGCATATAATTAAAATGAGGGATTTGTATGGTATTCATTCATATTATAATCATAGCCAGTGACTGAAAAATCTGGAGGCCAACTTGGATTTGCCGGAGTCAGAGGCCTTGTGATCCCTTCTCTGGACAGTCTTGGATTGGGGAATCACTTCAGTTGTCTGGAACCAGGTAGGTTATTATAGGAGCTTGGGGGGATATCTTTTTTTATAATTTTCCTTTTTTGTTTTTTGTTTGTTTTTGGCCGAAAAGTGACCTAGTTGGAACCTAATCCCCGGTTTCGAAACACTAATAATAACTGCCTAGCTATGAGGATATCGCCGTCCCATCAGTCGGTTGAATGGTAATGAAGGGGAATGAGTTGCACCAAACATGTTAGTGTTTGAATAGTATGTGCATACTCAATAGTCCACACACTTTCTCCATCACACCATCCACCCAGTTAGGATGTGATAAACAACATGATCGTTGTTGATGTTATAATTATATGGATTATAGAATATTGTTCCTTAAAATTGGGGCAACTTTCTCTCTTTTAGTCATGATAATAGGTTGGGAATAGTACAACCTGTCCTGGGTCAGGTCTGCACCTGCAAGGTGCACCTTGTTCGTTGGGCTTGGGCCAACTTGGCATGGACCCAACTGGATCCCGGTCGAGTACGGGTCTAGCCTATAGACTTTCAGGTCTGGGTCACTCAACCGATTTACACTCTACTCCCTTTCATTAAGCCGACAAGCACTAAGGGTCTGTTTGGATGCACTATCAGTGATAATTCACTATTGTGACTATCAAGATTTGACAGTGTCTAGCATAAAATTATCTAAGATAAAACTTATAGGTAGCATGTAAATTTTATCTTTTTGAAAAGTTGTTTTTACTTTATTGAATGTAATTTGCTGAAATTGCATTATTAAGCCAGAAATAGCTAAAAAAAACCTAGAAATCACTCAAAAACTTAAATGATTACATAACATTATACTTAATACAACACATGTAGTCATCCAACAGGCCCTTACACTTTGTACGTAGTGCTTTCTTGTAATTACATCTTCTCTCACTAATCCCCGACAACATTTTAACAACAAAATACCCATTGGAGAGAGAGAGAGAGTTTGATAGCTTGCACTTGGGTCTCTAGTGAGAAGGCCATGAACTTCAGGCATCATGATAATTAGGCCACAAGTTCATCTTTGTTCTGTACTCTGGAGGGACACACAACTTAGGCAGTTCCTTTAACTTCAGTGAGTTATGAACAAAAAGCTTTTAGTATTGAGAAAATAAAAATAAAAAGAAAAAACTAGCATATACGTTACTATTAGAAAGAATGGTTATCAACACCTTGCACTGATCTTCAAGATAAGCTTGTTATGGAAAGGCACAGCTTTTCAAATTCAGAACGTTGAAGAAGCATTAAACAGTAAACTTAATACAAAATCTAAATCTTACAATTTGATTGGACGATACATTGACAACAGAAATTCTAAGAAGAAAAAACAACATTCCAATCCACTACCCAACAATCTGATTTTACTTTTGGAAAATTAAAGTTTCATTACTGTTGAACTCTTTATCATAACCATCTCTTGAAATATTTCCACAGCAAACTCGTCTCTCCTTCTAAGCACCCCATGCTTTGTGACTCTCGGAAGAAAGCCAAGATCGACCCAAGCCGCCTCTCGAAGGATCAAAGTCACCAAACTAACCCCAATTCGCAACCAGGAGTTACAAGCTTCATGACCCACAAAATAGAAATTTCCTTCTCTCAAATGTCATCCCAAACCTCCCCTCAAAAGAATAAAAGAATCAGCAGGTATCAAAATATGGCTAGTCGTAGGACTTACAGTAACCATGGCTGATTTATAAACATAAAAACAAGAAGCGCCATCGAGATGACAGGTAAAATTTTAACAGAGGCTCGATACCCATCTCCCCTAGGGAACTCAGTAGGAAGGGAACACTCCTCTCCATTAAAGAACACCCTAGAGGGAAACCCGTCTCCCTTAACCATGTTGATGCCTGGTGTTTTCTTCTTGGTGAAAGAAATCACAGATTGTTGTTTACCAGGCACTCTTGGATCAGTAAGTGGGTTCGGCCCATCGGTTTCTCCAATTAAATACTCCAAACCAGGCAGTCCTTGCAAGAAGATAGTGTTGTTTCTATCTTCCATCACAGTTCCATTAAAAGAGTACACATTCTCATAACCAAGAAAGGCCTTGTCCATCTCTATAGCAGTGAACCAGTGGGCAAAATTGAAATCCTCCCAATTGAACAGAGTAATTCTAGCTGTCCAGCCCTTACGATAGTCTGAGTTTATGTGCCAATTTATGCTGAGCCCACAATAATCTCCACAAGGAATTGGGTTTGGCACATTATAGTGCTTTATTTTTGCCCAAGCCTTGGCCTTTGCAGTCCTGTTGGCAAAAGGGACTAAGAGAGCTTCAGAGGGGAGAAGCAATGGTGAGGCATCGGGATTACAAGCTGGTGTAATAGATTCAGGACAACCGCAAGCACAAGTATTGCAAGGTATTACAGTGTCATTGTAATAGGCCGAGAAAGATACGCAACATCGAGATTGCTTGTTTTTGGGCCGTGTTATATTGCAGACCACTTGCCAACTAGCCACTGCTGAACTTGTAGAGAGAAGCCCATTTGGGTCTGGAAATTCGGTTGGGCTCACCCTTATCGGAGGCCCACACTTATAGTCAGGGTTCAAAAGTCCATTGATCTTCCAATTTTGAGGTGCATAAAGAGCTGTTCTATTAAGATCGGGTGGAATTTTATATACTTGGAGTTGAAATGCAGCCTTCGATTTGGATGAATCCATGGTTGGGGGCAAGAGGGTGCCATTTTTGCAGCAATTTGAGATCAATCCAACTTGTGCATCATTAGCTCTTTCAGGTGGGAGATCAGCTATAATGGGCTTTTTTTGGCAGTTCATCACTGTTGCAAAATCGAGGCTTTGGTAATAGTTACCAGCTGGTCCATAGATACAACCTGAGGCGTCTTTCTTTAGTGTATATGCTCCTTTCATGGTGTATATAAACTCTCCTCTCATCCAGTCCCATGTTAAATTCCAGTTATCAAGGCGACCTAATGGGTGGTTATTAGACATAGAGACTTGGGCCAGGTAGTTGCTTCCATAGGCTTGGAGTACGTCGTAGCTTAAGGTTAGGTCACCATTTTGGCGAGGCAAAAACTTCGTATCGGCCACAGCCTTGGCCTTGTACTTGGGGTCCAGAACACAGCACACGTCCATCTCGCTACCTGTGAACACAAACATGCATATTATCCATCTCTCTGGGTTGCGAAACATGGACCTTCATCTCTTTAGCTCATCTCAGTAGGTTTGCACAACATGGTGTTCATCTGTCTTAGTTTTGATTGTCCAATATCAAACATCATATCAATATAAAAAAGATCTTTAAACTTGGTGAATACATCTCCATGAATTTATCAGGAGGCTGACAGGTGCAAGAAAAGCACCTTAAATTCATACTAAACTAATTCATTTTGTAGAACGAATAATTGAAGGTATTGATGAATCAGAGAGAGAGAGAGGGAGAGAGAGAGAGAGAGAGAGAGAGATGCGCTTGTGTGTCACCAAGAAAGAAATGTACTTGGTAACATTTAAGAGTTTGCTTGAGTTTGAAATCCGCAAGAAATCTCTTCATGAGAGGGAAAAGTTTTCTTAAACTTGGTATTTTTAAGGATCATTGAGAGAAATCTCCTAAGAGGATCTGAATTTGATTAACTAAACAATTACTACAATGTGACATCATGAGTTTTATTCCTACCACGAGTAGATGATACTTTTTCAGTTGAACTACCTATAATTGAGATATGAGGTCAAGGCATGAGTGGTCAGGTTGATAGGTGATGTCTTAAATTCTATTCCTACCACAAGTAGGAGACTTATCCCCTGCTAATCTACTAAAAAAGAAAAAAGAATTGAACAGTCTAATTTGCGTATCTCTATGAATTGGCCCTTAATATTGTGATGAGAAGAAGAATAAACATTATCATGGATTTTTGGAATTGACCACCCTCGGTCATCGGTAACAAAGTAAATAACTTTCATTAAAAATTTCCTGATTCATATGATTTGAAATAAAACAAAAAAAGTTCCAAACTGTGAAAAATTTGGAAAGATATTCCGTGGGTTGAGAAAAGCAGCTCTCCTCTGCCTCTGAAATCACGCACACAAAACCCAATTTTAATCGACCGCTCATTGCTTATAAAATACTGTACAGTTGGTAACAGCAATTGGGGCCTCCAATAAAACTAAACTATAAATTTAAACAAAAGAAAAGAAGACCTTAAAACCATTTCTAGCAAGAGAGAACAAAGTAGGAAGAAAACTCTGTCAAATTAAGAAAACACAATAAAATCCATTTGCAGAAAAAGACAAGGCAAGCTTTTTCTTTAAAGAAAAATGAAGAAAACCAAATTCGAAAAGAGAAGAAAAATGAAAAAAAACTGGAATAAACAAATTCGCTTACGCTTGAGTGTAGGCGCAGGACACTTGTACCCATCATTAGCAAGCTTAATCGTTTTGGGCATTGGAATTCGAGGTGACTTGACCCCAAATTGTGTCCCCTTTATTTCAATCTGAACCTGAATTTGAGTCATGTCACCAGCTGTGTCAATGGCATTTTTGAGATCAGATTGAGGATAACCCGAAAAATAAGTCCCATTTCCAACATGAGCAGGCAATTCAGATCCATCGTAGAGAACGGCTTGACCAGCTGAGACCAAAATCTCATTGTGTTGAAAACCAATAAATATTTTCCATCCTTTGAGATCATGGACACCTGCATTCAATATGGTGGCAATTGCCGAAAAGGCATAAGGTTGAGCAGACGCGTTCTTGATTCGAGGGAACTCCTTCTCTCTAGAAACGAAGACATAAGAGAGATAAATGCCATTGCAATCCTCTTCTGAGGGAGAAAGTGCTTGGCCGACTTCTTGGGATCTTGCCAATGAAAACAGCAAAATCAGCAAGACGGAGAAAATGGGTATTGGCTTCATCATGAGTTTAGGAAGCTTTCTCTCTCCTGGTTCTGGAGTTTTTGCAGGGGAAAACAAGGGAAATGGCAAGAGAGAGAAAGTTGGGGCCATTCCCACTTATCTACAAAGGCTATCGATCCCTCGCATGAACGGAAAAATGATGCGGCTTCAGCTTGCACTGAATTTCATTTTCTGATGGGTTTTCTGCGATCCAAATCACCAGCCATTACACAGGGAGGAAGAGAGAGAGAGTGGCCGGAGAATTGTTTCCAGAAAGGGGTGGAGGTGAGAGAGAATTGAGGTTTAAGAGAGAGAGAGAATTGAGGAAAGGGCAGTAAAAATGAGTGGTTGCAAAGACTGGATCCTGAAAAACCACCTCGCCAGACGCTCAAATGAAACCACCTCTCCTCTAAGGAGGGGGTCGCAAATCTTTTGAATTTTCCAAATTTTGGCGGTTTTAACGGCTACTTCAACGGTTTAATGGTGGGACTCATTTGAGCTTATGGTACATCCCTTTTTAGAGGGGACAGGGATGGCAAGATCTCTCTCTTTCTTGTAATTTTGTTTTATTCCTGATAAGGTAAAAGTTTACGTAAGGTTACAAAATTAAAATGTAGAATTAAGGTGCACCTCAAAAATCCATCATAAGATGCTGTTTCGATGTTGGAAAACCCTCTAATTGATCATCTCGACATCGAGATGTCCCAAAAATAGTGTGTAATGCAACATATTATCTGTACTGTCTATTCTCAAAATTTTTGTATGTGGAAAAATACACTTGATTTGAACCATTTTTAGAGTTTAAAATTTAATTAGATATCAAAATGGACTCAGGCCATTCTAAGATTTTTTAATACTAAAATTACTTCTTATGATAAAATTTAGAGGTGTGCCTTCTTTGATTGTTTATGGTTGCAATCTTATGTAAACACACCTATTTAGTAATTGAACGTATGTTTCTATCCTTTCTTTTTATTTTAACATGATGTTTAGGTTTCGATTTTAGAATGAAAAATATAATACAAGGGGTCAAACTTATACAGTAGAAGTGATGCACACTACAAAAATCCATTGAAAAAGGTTGTTTTGATGCTGAAAATTTTTTCAATTGATCATATCTTTCACTTAAGATGATGTATAGAACAAAATAATAATAATTCAAGGCTTAAAAATAGTTCATTTTGTAGCATATCATTTGGACCATCCATCTTAATGATCGGATGGTATAGCATCTAGAACATGGGGACGCTTGAAGGGTGCATGAGCACCCTTCAACTATTCCGATTAAACCTAGCATCATCCAATGGCTATAGAACAACTTTATTTTTTATTTAAAATTATATCTATCTAAAATTTGGAGTGTAAACTAATTTTTATAAAGAGAATCAAATAAAAATAATAAAAATATTTTCTACAAAAAAATTTAGATTTTTTGAAATCAATTAAGAACTCCAAGTTTTTTTAAAGGGTGCGGTTTGCATAGAGCTAAGGCTCTAAACAATCAAAGTAAAGTGCACTTTCAAATAGTATCGAGAAATGTGGTTTCAATACTGGAAATCTTTGTGATAGCCTTAAAATATATTTTCATATCTAATTATAAAATTTAAAGCTTGAAATAAAGTGTAGATCAAGTAGATCTATGAAAATTTGAATATCTTGAAAATTGACTGTCCAAAAATGCATTACAAGATGCACTATTTCTAGAACTTGAAATCTATTTTTTTCTCATGTCCATGCATCTTGATGTCGAGATGATCAATTTGAGGATATTTGAACATCAAAACAACCTCTTCTAATGAAATTTTTGAGGCGCGCTTTAATTTGATTGTTTAGAGTCTCGGCTCTATATAAACTTTTTCCTTTTTTAAAAGATACTTCAAAAAAGTATATTTTGTTAATGGAATTTATATTTTTTCATAAAAACTTTTGTCCCATGATTTTATTGAAACTTCTATTCTCTTCATTGATTTGATATTTTGAATTTTGATTTTGAGATAAAAATACTGTACATTAGATTAAGTTACGAATCCTGATCTAATAAAATGTAAGCACTTGTTGATTATCAAGTATGCATTTTGTTGCTGTCTTTATGTATATAGAGGTTTGATCAAGTTCAACTTTTTGAAATTTGTAATATTTCATTGACATATAAAATACCACAATTTGGACTATTATTTCATATTTTTGTGTTTTTTTCAATTGCAAACATTGCATTGAACCACCATTTTTTCATAGAGTCCTCTTGGCTCTGGTTTGGAAATATCTTATACTAAGGGTCTTTGTTTTCTTTTGCTTTTTTTTTTAATTACAACAACCCTTTTTATTTATTAATGTAATTATAATGTTTAGTATTGTTGGTGTCGTTTCGTTTTACCCTTCCAATCAATCCATCATATCATTTTGTATATCAACACTAGAGCAAGCATTTAATGAAAATCTAGGAAAAAAAAGTCTCAAGTATTACGAGAAATGATACCAGTTAAGGACATAAAACTATCGTTCAATGGTTTTAAAGGGACATATAATAACTGCAACTCATAATTTTATCTTATGTCATCTGTATATATATCTAATTTTTTCACTTCATTTTTTCAATGCCAACTCCAAAATATTCATTATTTTTTAACTTACCCAATGTTTAGCTATCCGTATCTTTTACCTGATTTTTTACCTTAATTTATTCCCAGAATTTTAAATTGGCAATATATTATTATTCCCCAACTTCCTTTAAATTAGTGAATTCCATCCATAACAAAGAAATGTGTTTTCAAACTTTCAAATGTAAAACCTTAGAATTAGTGTTTTAGAAACCAAACACTGAATCGATCGCCGGCCGAATCGATACTGATAAGTGAACTAGATTGGAAATGGCAGGTTCTCGGGGAAAATTTCTATTGAAACCAGAAACATTGTAATTTAAAAATAAACCGTTGGAATTGGGTGACTGTGGGGGATCTTTAGACCAAGACCAGACCCCACCAATTCCGATTGGCCTGGAAAGTTTCGAGCCGGCTTGCCAATTTTAAAAAATTGCTTAAAATAAACTTATAAAAAAAGATAATTAACGCTTTATATTAATTTATATTCTCCCTCTTGAGCATATCCAAGATCCACTCTTAATGTGTTGTGTGTGTGAGAGAGAGAGGTCCTGAAATAAATTTAGATAGAGGGGAATATAAGCAGGAATAAATTTAGGAAAAGAGAATAAAAGTAAATCAATTTTTGGAAAGCAATTCACATCAATGTTGATGTAACAATGACTCCATTAAATAAAACTTAAAGAAATATTTCCTTATTTTATTCTAAGTTGATTTGAGTTGCTTACCTTATTAAGGATCAGACATTTATTTGTGGGCCATTGATTTGCATATTTTAGAACCACTTTAAATAATTCACAATTCATCCACAAGATAATAATGATTCATATGATTTGACCACCTAAAATTATGGACTATAGTATATGGATGTTGTGATAATTGCTTGCAAGAAATGTCCTCTTGATTCTACAGCATGAAGTGGACAAGGACTCCAGACACCCATCGCAAATTGCATGGGATAGAAAGTGAGAATTTAAGAAAACTAAGACGAAGAAAGAAAAACAAAAAAACAAAAAAGAAGTGCTTTGCCTAGCATAGGAAGGTATTAGTGGAAAATTTAGTTATTGCTATATTTACCAAAAAAGAATTTAGTTATTGCTATCATGACAACTCACATTTCCACATAATCTTTGTTTGAAGTAATTTTCTAGGATATTGTTGAAATTTTGGTATTTCATGGATATAGTTTAGAACCGAAAAGATATAATGACATATAGCTTTACTGAGGTATATGCTTTAATAGAGAAGAATGGCGGAATAAGATTCAGGTAGCTGACCCCAATTAATTGGGAAAAAGTTATGACGATAATAATCATGGATATAGTTTGGAACAAATTGAAATGAAAAAATAAAAAAAAAGAAAGAATAAGAGAATGGAAAATGTCATACAATGTTTTTTTTCAATCATTAATTCCATGGAATGTTCTAAACAAATCTTTACATAAGATTGCTTTCTCTTAAATTGCGTAATAGCTCACTTCCATAGACAGTGTTTTGTCCTCAACTAATACTAAGTAGTATTCTTTTGAAGAGGTTTTCAATAGAAAAGGAAAAATAAGGTATTTATAGAATAAAGGAAAATAAGGGGCTAAATAGAAACAAATATTTTCTAAAGAAACAGCTTGAAGGTTAGCGACGATAAATGCGGCCTGTTGTTTTCAAGTAAAAGTGAAAGATATGTACGAGGGCTAGCAAGCTAGGCTACCCTTGGTCCTAGCTTAGCCATGATCCCTTGCTTAGACTGAAGGAGCCCTAGCCCTATCAAAGTCGATCAGGCCAAACCGGGCCAGCCTTGTCGTTGCTCAAGCCCAGACCTGACCCTCGGGCCCTATTTTGTGGCCAAAACCGTTTTTTGCAGGGCCAGGTCTCTCAGCCCGTTGGCAGTCCTAATGTAAGAGGGAGGAATTAAGATTGTGTTCGATGGGTTATATTGCTGACCATTGCAATACTACATCTTGAGTTCGAATCAAAAGATAAAAGGGCTAGAGGGAAAAGAGAGAATATTCATAACTTCTCTTAAATAGGTATATATGTATGTTAAATAGCTATCAGCCCTTAAATCACCCATGAAATAAAATATTAGGTGGTTTAATTTAAAGATTCATGATAATAATAGTATCACATTGTGGCACCAGGCACCTCGATCATCTCTTCCTAGAGTCCAACAGGTCAGACTGATCATTTGAAATGATGAGTTATACTGAACTTGTTAAGGTCCATGTGGATAACATCTAGGGAAGTTTAACCTCAAAACTTCTTTAGTTGTTTATGATTTTCTAATTTAATTTATAGGTGAACTAAAGATGATTTGAGAGAGAGGAGTTCATATTGTGATTTAGAGAGAGATGTACCAAATTGATTTGATTTGGAAGAGAGAGCGACATAGAGATCAACAAATTGATTTAGAAAAGAGAGAGAGAGAGATGCAACAAATTGATTTAAAAGGGTTTTAACTTCCCATCACAATCTGAAGTGCCCCCACACGCAATAAATCACATTATATGAAACTCCAACCTATATACCTTCTCTATTTTGATGAAATATAAGTCCTTTGATAACCAGCCATCCTGATCTCGTAAGCCTCTATGAAGCATTTTCTAGTGATAATTTAAGCAATATTGTGGCCAAGTAACATCAACCATGTCCTTGTACGAGTCTTCTTTTAGGGTAGGAAGTGGGTCATAGTCCTTATAGGAGCAAATAATTTCTCAAGAATGCATTCCAAAAGTATATTATATGTGGGACTATTGATATATAAAATGGTGCCCCGTCATTTATAGAAGTGCAAATTGCCTTGTGATATGACCCCAAACATGGCATCTCAACTTAATATATTGAGTCTCACCTTCCCTACAAGGTGGGAAAACAAAGGTATTGCTGTTTCCTCTAATCATTGTAAGGGGCATGGTGGTTTGCAACTTGTCCTCTAGCCAAATCATTAGGGAGGAATAAACACAAGTTAGATGCTCTCTCTCTCTCTCTCTCTCTCTCTCTGGATTAAGAAATAAGCACAGGTTAGATGCTCTCTCTCTCCTGACTACAAGGAGGTTATTGAACACAACTAGAAGAGACTGTCAATAAAATACAATTCTGAGTTACAGACTAAGAGAAAATTCTTACCCAAACAAAGAGATGCAATTCTTAGTTATTATTTCTTAAAGTGATTTACGTATGGATCCTAAAAAATTTTTTAAAATATAAAATGTTCTAGGTAGAAATTACAAAAAAGGAAGGTCAATCCACTTTTTTTTTTTTTCTTTCAAAATTGCCCCTTGGTCCAAAGACATCCTCCAACCGATATATATATATATATATATATATATATATATTAGTTTTTTCGTTAGGAGAGCACTGCCCTAATAATATTAATAATAAAAATAAATTATAATTTGGACAGATGATTCCATCCTTAGACCAAAAGGTAATTATATATATATATAAAAAAAAAACCGGTTCACCGATCTTCTTTGTTAAACGAAACATTCCCTATTTTAGGAAAAAATTTAGGGACCCTATGTAAATCACTCTATTTCTTATTACTTCCAACCCATTCCGAAGGAAGTAAGTTGAAAATGTCTTGAAGAACATGCAAATATTTCATTATGAGAGAGAGAGAGATCGCATGGGAGATGAATAATAATAATCTAGAGAGAGTGGGAGTTGAGTAGCAGTAATTTTGCCAGAAGCCACCCATGGATATTAGGGTGGAGGTACATGAGGAGCAGCCTTTCTGGAAACTGGCCATCATACTTTATTTACTTTCACTCCTTCTCCTACCTTTTACCCTCCTCTTTTTACTTCTTTTCAAAGTTAAAACATCATCGAATTTAAACTCCCTTTCTACTTTTCCTGCCTTTTATCATAATGTTTATAAAAAAAAGTTGCCTTTCAGACTCAAAATTTGCCTTGGTTTCAATAGTTAACTACTACTTCACTGTAGCGAACTGCCTGATTTTGGGTTACTTTATAAAATTTTAAACCTAAGACTTGTAATCCTAGTCGATTGAGCTATTCTGAGTTGGCTCACAAATTTTTCAAATCCTGCTTTTGGATACCAAGTTACCTTTGGTACCCATAAAACACAGGCCTTAATCTTCAATCAAAAGACAATGGGTCACATTGGAACAGTAATGAGAAAGCTCCATGAGAAAGCTCCATTCCTTGAGCAATTGGAAACATGAATGTGTCCTGAATATTTCTTTTTCATAGGATTGTGACAACACAAAGCGAGTGTGTTTTAATGCATTTCTTTCACATCTCTAAACCAATATAAATTGGGTTCAAGTCCATGGCTCAAGTGGAAGGTAGTTTAAGTTCCCAATATAAAAACTTGCTAGGGTTTAGGCAACCTCTGTTTCACACATTCCTCCATTGTCTTTAATGGCCTCATGAAGCACTTACAGTGGACACGACACCTTACATCGATAGGCCAATGAGCCTTGGAACCCTAAAACCCACCTTCATCAAGCCCAATTGTCATGACCAAACCATGCACCACACGTGTAAGGACAGGATTGATGCCGCGTCGACGAGCCAATTGTCGGAATCCGGCGACCTTGCTGCCGGAAAATGGGTCTTTGACCTCATCCTTGGTTGTGCGAAAGCCATTACTGAAAAAGACGCGGCTCGGTCGAACCACCTCCTGTGGATGCTAAACGAGCTTGCGTCCCCCTACGGAGACCGTGACCAGCGCAAGGCTGCGGCCTTCCTGCAAGCGCTCTTCTGCAAGGCTTCCGGCTCGGGAGATAGGTGCAGTCGGATTTTAGCCATTGTTGCAGAGAAGGCTCAAACCTTTGATTCGGCCCGTCGGGTCATCCTTAGGTTCCAGGAAGTGAGCCCCTGGACCACGTTCGGGCATGTGGCGGCAAACGGGGCGATACTCGAGGCCTTCGAGGGGGTCCACGACCTCCACATCATCGACATTAGCAACACCCTCTGCACCCAGTGGCCCGCCCTCCTGGAGGCACTGGCAAATCGGAGCGAGGACACACCGCGCCTTCGGCTCACGACGTTAGTAGACGAAGGTGACTTGGGCGGCCCTCACGGTGCAGTACTGATAGAAGTTAGACAAAGGATGGAGAAATATGCCAGATTGATGAGGGTGCCCTTCGAGTTCGAGGCGGTCGGAGGTGGGCTTGGCAGCATAGGCTCAGTAAGGGTCACAGACAGTGAAGTGGTGGCCGTCAACCTTGTCGGAGCTCTACGGAGAGTTCCTGTCGATGCGAGACCGAGTGCAGTACATGGGATCGCAGCCTTGGGGCCGCGAGTAGTTACAGTTGTGGAGGAGGAGGCAGACTTAACTGGGGGAGAATGGGCAGGAAGAGTATCAGAGTGTATGAGGTTTTACGGCACATATTACGAGATGTTGGACGAGGGGTTCGGGCGCGTGAGCGAGGAGAGACTGGCCCTGGAGAGGCAGTGCGGGAGGGAGCTGGTGCACACCATGGGATGCGAATCTGCAGAGGGAGGACGGGAGAGGAGTCTCCGGTGGAGCGAGAGAATGCGAAATGCCGGGTTCGGACCCGCAGCATTCAACTTCGATGCCATAGATGATGTACGCGCATTGCTGAAGAGGTACGCCGGCCGATGGTCGGTTGTTTCCGGCGAGGTGCCTGACACGGGGCTCTACCTTTCCTGGAAAGATCAGCCCGTTGTCTGGGCCTCGGCCTGGAAACCCTAGAGAGATACATGGAACTCGGTGTTGCCTGGTTGAGAGAGAGCGAGAAAAGGAGGGGCTCTGAGAGAGGGAAGGAGAATCAAAGTTTTCTCTCTTTCTTTTCCTTCCTTCCTTCACTTTTAGTACGAGAAGAAACTGGGTGGATTCGCAAGGAGATTTGGATTTTTTTTTTCTTCACTCCAGCAGTTTAGGGTCGGTCCGGACACATAAAATTAGGAAAATGCGAGATGGGCTAATTTTTGGAAGAAATTACGCTGAAGGTCGGTCAATCGTTTTTTTTTTTTTTTTTTTTTAAAAAAAAAACAATTTATCTCTTGGTCTGAAGATTTCTTTATTTTTTATATTTTTTAACATTAGGGGTAGTGCTCAATTGGTCTGATGTTGATGTCATTATACTGCCTTATGTGGTGCTCTTCAAAGCGGTTCGAGGTTAGCATCCTCGGATTGCAAACATCGACTTTGTTAAGCATTTAGAAGCGGTCCGAGCTGCCCATTCTCGGACTGCCTTCTTTAGTGATCTTCTGGGCAGTCCGAGGTTGGCAGCATCATACCGCATTACCTCATTTGTTTGCTAAGAAATAAGTCGGTCAGGCTGCCTTCTGGACTGGGCACTAGGGCGCTGCACCATCAGTTAAATAACTAAATAAAAAACTTAAAAAGCGGTCTTAGGATGACATCCTCATATTGAGGGATATTTTAAAAAATAAATAAAAAAACACAGATTGACTGACCTTCCACATAATTTTCGCCTAATATTAACCTATTTCGATTTTTCCTATTTTATTCGTATGTGACTTACTCTTTTTATTTGTTATTGGACATTTTGTGCTGGATCCATTTTATGGGTGCAATGAAGAAAGGATCTACGACCCGAAGCACCACAGCTACCGTTCAAGTCTCTCTCTCTCTGCCCATATGGTCATCATATTGTTCTCTAACTTGAGTCGTTAGGGTTCTCCCTCTCATGAGCCAGGTATTGTTCTCCGACCCTTAAATGTCTCTCTGTCAAGAATATCCTTTCAAATATTTTATACTTCTATAGAAAAAGTTTATATTATTATTATCGTCTTTTGTAATTTATAAAAAAGTTTATATTATTATCATTATCATTCGGCCCTTATCCTTACTATTTAGAATTAGCTATACAAATCATGTTCCTTCATCAAAGGTTATATTCTCAGTGAAACCATTAATTATTATATCTTTTCTCATTACTTTCATCTATGTCTTTTGAGGTCATCCTCTTGTCTTTTTAGAGCATTCCCCTTGAATCAAATTATCTCTCCTAACCAGTGCTATTTTAGGTCGATGTTGCATAATTTTATATTATAAAAGTAATCCATCTTAGATACCCATAAAAATAGTTATTATGATGCTAGACAACTCTCAAATTACGCATCTTAACCTCAAGAAATATGCATATGAAAAAGAAAAAAAAAAAATTTAATACGCATATTGTAATACATTTTCTACATTATTCATTGTCAAGATTTTCAAGTATTATACATCAATTCGATATGCACTATTCTCGAGGCTCCGAGTTTCATAATTAAAGGAAGAAGTAGATTTTCAAGATATTGTAAAAGTTTCAGATACCGTCTCTATATCATTCGGTAGGGTTGGGATATGGAATTACTTTGATTGTTTAAGGCTGCCACCTTGTGTAAACCACACCCTATTTTTATTTAATAATAATGATTTTTGAACTTTATAAATATAAAATTAAGAAAAAACAAAAAACAAAAACAAAAAAAATTAAAATTATGTGCTAAAAATTGATGCAAATAAATAAATAAAATATATATATATATATATAAGTGAATTATTTCAGCTAAATAATTAGTTCATGACAACAAAGATAAGGGCTTCTAAGAATGTTGTCGTAATGGGACGAATATATGGTTCATAGTTATCAAGACCTTAATTATCAAAATTGAACCCAACCAGTGGTTTAACCGGTTGGACAGTCGACTATGTTTTTGTCAATCCATTCAAAAATGAAAATTAAATTTAGTCTAAAACAAATCAACACCAATGTTTGACCGATTTTACTCGGTTGGACCTATTGGTTTTAATTAGTTCGACCATCTAAATGAACTTTGGAAAAAAATTTCATACAGTTTTATATTTTTAACTATTACATATATTTTTAGTTATGTTTTTTTATATTTTAAAATTCAGCCCAACTAGTCTGACAACTGGTTGAACCAATCCCTCATAGGTTTGGTGATCAGTTAGATCATGATAACACTGATGAATATTAGATCGAACAGGCGGTCTGATCGGTTGGACTTCCAATCAATATCTTGGTTGGTCTGGTTTAAAATAAAATTCAGTTTTAATGTTAAAAAAAAACCCAAAACTAGTATTTGACCAGTTTTGGCCTATCGGACTGGCCAGTTTCACGGGGTTCAACTGGCCAAAAAAGTTGGGCATCATTTTCAATACGTTTTGTATTTTTGAAAATATTACTCATACTTCTCTTTATGTTTTAAAATCCAGTCAAACCGGATCGATTGGTCGTTGGTTTAGTTTTGATTACATCAGTCTCCAGTAACTAGCCTGAACCGGTTAAACCACTTACTAGTTTGAATTGGTGGTCTGATAGGTTATTTAATTGGCAAGGCGACTAGTCTAGTCAAAATCAATCCAACCACTGATTGAACCAGATTGACTAGATTTTAAAACATAAAAAATATTATTTCAAAATATGTAATATACTTAAAAAGGTATTGCCCAATTTTATTTGGCTGGTTGAATTCGTCAAAACTTATTGGTCGGATTGGCAATAACCGATCAAAACATTTGACCAGTTTCTTATCAAAACCAAATTTTATTTTAGACTAGAATGACTAAGGCATCAGTTGACATCGATCGTGGGTATGAGACTATGATGGCGTGTCAGATACTCGACACACATTGGTAAAGAGGGGCATCTTTGAAAGACAGCTCTAAGAGCTCAAACCAATGTTTTCATATTTGTTACAGAGTCTTTTTCGATTTGGCGGAAAAAATGAAGCAATTTGGTACTTCGGTTGATTCGTGGGAAAACTTCAGTTTTCTTTAAAAAAATGAATATAAATAAAGTATATATTTATATATATTTTTATATATAAATATTAGAAATAAATTAGAAACAAATTTTTTAAAAAAATACGTTTATATAATATTTTCTTTGCTTGCCGAATCAGCCCGAAACAGATCCAAATCTTACCAAAGCAGTTTGAAGCAGCCCAAATCTGACCAAAATGACAGCATCAGATTTCGTTTCGCTTTGATCTAAACCTAAAAGTCACATGCTTTAAAGCGTAACAGATTTGACAACACTAGCTCAAACGTCAACCTTACCAACCCAAACATGTACTTCACGGAAACACTCTCATTCTCTCTCTCGTTCGATGCCAAGGAAGTTACAATAATAATTCTCTCGCGTCCGATGCTAAGGAAGTTACAGTAGTAATAGCAATCATAGGACTTTTCTTTGAATGTTAAATCATGATTTTCATTTTTTTTTTTTTAAGGTACGTTAGTGGGGAAGAAGGCCTTCTATCCATTTTTCTTTATTAATAAACAATAAAGAAGAGATAACTCATTATTTTACAACTCTATAATAGAGTAATTACGTCAAATCATAAAATTAAAAAAACGAAATAAAGTCCAGCGGTCGAGAGTGCCAAATAGTAGCTTCAGAATAAAGTAAGATGTCTTATTAAAAGTTGGTCCATTTATATTGCCATAATTTTCTAACTTTTCAATAAAGGGCTACTAACAGTAGTAAAAGAAAAAAGCTCCTAATTTTTCAAATTCTATTTATTTCTATTTTCATATTGGGTTCAAAAATCTAACATAAGAATCGCCCAAAAAAATAAAAAACTAGGGTCCAAAAGCCCAACTTTTAACTGCTTGAAGCACCAAAACCCATGTTTAATTGATTAAAAAGTTCAACTTTGGGATCACCCAAAATAAAAAAATAAATAAATAGGGGTAAAATTAGAATAAACTAAGAGTTGTTTAAAATACAGTAGTAAAAACTCATGGTAAAATTAGAAATTGGGATAAAATTAGAATAAACTAAGAGTTCAAACAGAAAAGTTGTATTTTTGTATTTTGGGTTGTCTCAAAGCTTAACTTTAAAATTTTGGGGTAAAATTAGAACAAATTTTTTGAAAAGTTTAGGATGTCACTGTAAAATGACCCAAAATATGGACTAGCTTATAATACCACTTCCTATTTTGGGTCCATATATAAATTTCCTTCAATGTAAAATTTATTAACTACCAAAATGATTTTGAAGACTCCTTTGGCCAAAATAGTTTTCTTCGGAGTTCTTTCTTGATAAACATGATTCATTATAGGAAAAGGGCTCGGTCGTGGTGGAAGCATTCCCATAACTAGTAATCACATTGTGGTTTCCAATCCTGAATAAGATTCATTATAGGAAAAGGGCTCGGTTGTGGTGGAAGCATCCCCATAACTAGTAATCATATTGTGGTTTCCAATCCTGACAGGGTTCACATTGTGTGTCCTAATACCATATGTTGACACAACCACATGTTGACACCTTTCGTAAAAGGGTCACATGGTGACACCTTCCGTAAAAGGGCCATGACCCGGTGCTGGTCCCACTTATGCAAGGTCTCGAGAGGGGTAGACTGTGGTTTCCAATCTTGACAGGGGTCACATTGTGGATCCTAACACCACATGTTGACACCTTCCGTAAAAGGGCCATAACCCGGTGCTGGTCCCACTTAAGCAAGGTCTCGAGAGGGGTGGACTGGAAACGGTCTTAACCTTTGTTATGGACAAAGTGGCCGCTCTCAAGACTCGAACCTGCACTCTTACACTGACAACCCGAGTCTTTTACTATCACACCAAATGATGGCCCTTTCACTGGTTGAGACCTTTAAAAAAGCTAAAGTCTTAATCTATATGAAAAAACGGTAGGGGACCTATCTTCCCCACTGAATTACCCAAAAAAAAAAATTTCATTTGCAATTCTACGCCCCTAGCGAGTCTGATCTCACAAAAAGCCTCATAAAAATGTCATTGTGGTCATTGTCAACAAACCAAAAAGCCTTATAGGAACGTCATTGTGGTCATTGTCAAAAAACCAAAAAAGATGTCATAGTGGTCTTTGGTCACCTGTGGCTTTCAAAGACTCCCCTTCAAAATGAACCCCATGAGCAGTAGATGAGAAAAGTTTGTCCCCCTTATGGAACACCCTCACCT